TGATCCACCAGAACTTCCCTTCCACCTCTGGAAGTTCACTACCCTAATATCTTTAGGTTCTTCCGGGCTTCACTACCAGGATCCTCTGCAGCTTCTCCAGGCTGCTATCATGAAGTTTCCTTGAGTAACTACGGTGCTTCACCCTTCTGCTAGGTTCCTCCTCAGCTCTCTTGGCTGCTACAGATTATGTAACAGAGTGAGGGGCAGAGTGGAGGAGCCACGACGCAGTGCACCCTATGCCAGCCAGATGAATAGTGGTAGGTGCAAGATGAACCACCGTGGTGAGGTGAGCCACAGGGAGGTGGATGAGCCCAACCACGAACCGAAGAAGACGTCTGCAGGGATGAGAATCTCATGGAGGAGTGAAGATGTTCATCGGGAACGAAGGAGCGAGTGGTATAGGAAAGGCAATACGAAGAAAGCAGGGAATAGGTACACCCAGGGTAGGCGGCAGCCTAACCAGAGGGGCATTGGGCCGTCAGGAGAATCAGAGAATCAGTAGGGAGAGCTGATATGACTCTTTAAGCCGGCAAACGAAAGAAATAGGAGAGGGCACCGTAACATAGTGGGGCAGAGGTTATGGGGCTGATCGGCTAATGTCCCTTCCAAAAGGTCATATCTGCCGTAGGGGATACTGTTTCATTTTATATCAGGGCGCCAATTTCCCCAAAGACAAACCTGCAACCCATCGACACTCCAATAAAATGTTCCCCTTTAACACATAAACAAAAATAACCACACAATATGCTTGCCTCAAACCTCTATCTGTTCTCTACATACAGTGAGAGTGGACTCCCCCGCTTTGGGCGGGTCCATACTCCACCTCGCCCGGCGGCGGTCCTCACTCACGCTGGGAGGGTCCTTCGCCGTCAGGAGCCAGGCTCCCTCAGTCGCCCGCCAGCGCTCAGAGGGGACGGACGTCGCTCCGTGTTCCTCCCTCTCCACTCTCTTATTTCAGGCCTTCTGCCTTATTAAAACATGTCTAACTTATAAATAAATATCGCTACTGTCGCTGGGCACACGACCAACTACAAGCAATCACTATGAACTGGCGTATATCGTGCTTACCACAGATTATAAGGTCGAGGGCGCTTTCCCTCTGATGGCATCTGGTCAGGGCGCTCCACACAGCCCACGAAAATGCCTCTGAGCAGCTTATTAAACTCTCCTCGCCGTCCAAGACTTGAGACCACAACGTTCTCAGCTCAATTCCACAGCTGGCACGTCTGCACACTTCTCTTCTCTTAGAGATATATCACTAGGGGTTCCCTTCTGACGGGAGCTCAAACGGAGCGCGGCTTTCCCCTGCGATGTCTGGCACTCAAGTGAGGTCAAGGTCCTCCGGAAGCGAGCCTCACGCCTCCAGCAAAATGTCCACATCTCCTCGCCAGTCATTTATCTGCTTTCTTCTTCATTGCCCATAATCTCAAACTGTTATACATATCCAAGCAACTATTTTACATATGCGTTATCACCTCAATATTTGCTAGACCTTCTAATCAGGTCAGGCTTGATGAATAACTCTCAAGGAGGGAGACTCGTTTCTCCTGCAGGCTGAGATCATAACAGTATGTTGATGAAGCATTGTGTCAAACACGTACTCGACCATTATTGGAGCAAAGACCAAACTATTCCAACACCATTGTTTGGGAAATATATGTCTCGAGACCGATTTGCAATAATCCTCAGGTGTCTTCATTTTGCAAATAATGAAGACCAGACTGAAGATGATAGACTTCGGAAGGTGAGGCACATCCTGAATGAACTTGTTTGAAAGTCAGAGATTTCTACGTACCAGCTCAGAAGCTGACGACTGATGAATCCCCTGTGCTTTTCAAAGGACGGTCTGCCTTCAAGCAGTATATTCCCTCAAAAACGCCTCAGATTTGGATTTAAATTCTGTGTACTCTGTGACTGTGAAACAGGAACTGTGTTACACATGATAATGTATACGGGTACAAGTGTAGACATTCCTGCTAATAACAATCATGGCTTCTCGGGTAGTGTGGTGACGTCACTGCTTGCACCATATCTGAACAAGGGCCACATATTATACACAGATAACTATTATACCAGTCCCTTGCTAACATGGTTCTTGCTTGATAATAGAACTGGTGTGTGTGGCACAGTGAAGGCAAAACAAAGGAAAATGCCAGTGTTTCACACTGCTATGCAGGTTGGTGATTGCGAGCTAAGAAAAACTGGCGCAATGCTTTGAGTGCAGTGGAAAGACAGGCATGAAGTGAACATGTTGACCACCGTTTACGATGGTACAATGGTGGACAGTGGCAAGGTGAACAGAACAACAAAACAAATAATCTATAAGCCTGATTGTGTTTTGGACTATAACATCAACATACGTTTGGTGGATAAATGTGATATGATGGTAGGGGCAGTAGAGTGTGTACAGAAAACAGTGAAGTGGACCAAGAAGATGTTTTTCCACCTTGTTGATGTAATAATGCTGAACAGTTCCAATACGTATTTTCTCAAAACAGATGGTAAATGAAATTTCTGTGCGTTCAAGTTTTACTGTAGAGACAATTACTAGAAAAGATTGTCAAACCAATTCCTGGCATACAAAGGCCCCATTGTGAACCCAACATTGCACCATGCTCCCACACCCAGGCTCGCTTACAAGGACGCCTTTCTGACACACAATGTAAGGTATTTACCACCAACTGGAAAGCGTGCAGTAGCCCAGCGTGAGTGCATTGTATGAAAGACCACAAAAAAGAGGGAACAAAAACGTAAAATTGGTCTTAACTTGGTGCACAGCATGAAAGGTCCCATTGTGCTATGCCAAATGTTTTGAAGAGTATCACAGTCTCGAGGAGTTGTTATGACCCTGGGTTCCCATTCAGAAACCAGAGGTCAAATAAAGTTCCAAATAGTTGTGTAAGAGGGATATTTAATTAACAATAATGTTTATATTCAAGGCTTCTCATACCTGATGAGTATTTGTCTCAGTCTTCCTTCCCAGACGTAAGATGAACCTTGTTACTCACAGATTATTCAGACTCTGGGCTTGTTGACTATTAAATATAATATTGAACTAGTTCCCAGCTATTCTTAGAACTGTTAAAGTAACTAGTAATGAATGTTGGTGAAGACTTGTTATGTTTATGGCTGTACGATCAGCTAGGTACCCTTTCCAGCAGCATATTTAAGAGAACGGAGGAGGCTGCTCTCGCTCTCTCTGGTTCTGGCTGTTGTGGTGTTCACACTTTTCCGCGTGGGCTCTGTTCTCCTCCTTCTCCCTTTCCCTTACCTCATTCTACATTTATTATCTAAGATAAATATAATACTGTGTTACCGTGTTTTGGCAAATTGTGTAGTTAAGTTCTTGTGTAGCCTAAGCTAGTGTTTATATCCCTAAGATTACTCTAGGGTGTTTTAGTAAAACCACGTGTGCTCAAGTTTTACCAGGCTATCTAGAGCCTTTACTAGTGTCCTACTCCAAGTAGTCTTTACCCTAGTTGTAATTGTAAACTCTGCATCCTGTCTATGTGGACCAAGGTGTTTAACGTAAGGTAGAGTGGTAAAGAAATTTATTGTATTAATGGATATGGGGGTTATTAGAGGGTTTTAATAAATAAGTTAGATTACGAGAATTATCAATTCATCCTGTTGAAGTGGTGTAGATGATTAGCTACTAGACAGCAGACCTGTAATTTAAAACATAGAATCATTACTAGGAACCTTTATTCCTTGGGGAGCCGGCCCTATCTATCCCACTATTTTAGATACATCTTGACTCTAACTACTGGCTCTTCTCAGTACAACCACGTACCCCATAACAAGTGGGGGCCTGTCCGGGAGCTGAAATTTTTATATATAAATTGTAAAAAAATTAGATTTTTGAGTGCCGAAACTAAATTTCTTGCATTCCGCAGAACGGTTATGTGGTAGCTTAGGGTCCAGCTCAACTAGCAAAGGATACATCTTGCACTGATTGAACATCCAACTAGATCCCTTCCCGATTGAGGTAAGTGCAAAGTGTGTGCTTGCCGACGGAAGAGTGGACCCAGTTAGCTGACCGTGTTGCTAGAGATGGAGCGAGAGGAGTGTTACTGCCATCGGACAATTCTACCTATATTATTTCCTTATGCATGTGTATATATTTTCTTCAGTAAACTTTTAATCTTACCAATGTGTTTGAGTTAGCCTCCATTCTCTAGGGCTATTTTGAGTGAAACCATTTATGTCACCTTGCATTGCACATGAGATTGCATCCTTGATTTAAGATAACTAATGAGACCACTGAAGTGTTGTCGGGACACGAGTATAAACACCCAGCTGGCGACCTCGAGCAGACCAGATATCTAAGAGAGAGTGTCCCAGTGTCAAGACGGGCAGGTTCAGGTGTGATACAGGTAGACTTCAACCTCTCTACTCGCTAGAGGTATATATATAAGGCCAGCCCTTAGTGGACTGTGTTTAGCCCCAGGGCGAGCAGTGGCGTCTGGTACGGAGGGGCGAAGACCCGTGGGAACGGCCCCAAACCATATAAGGTAGGAATGGGTGAGAACCTTGACACCTTCCCTATCATGTCAAAAACTGTACTTCTCTCAACCAGTTTAAGATAAAAACTCAAAACTACCTAATAAACTCCATGTAACATACGTTACCCCTAAATGTCAACCCATGTCTTATTATTGTAATCAATGCTTTTTGTTGACCAACTTATATAATTGCTTTTCTCTGCCTTGTTCCCCCCTCCCCTTTTTTTTATTTATTTTTACAATGCAATTTATACTTTAAGCTCAATTACTATTAAGTTTTAGTCTAAGTGTTTTTCCCCCTTCACCTTGCCTGAAACGCTATGAGTACTAGTGGCTTTAAGTATTGTATGTACTATCTCTATCTTTAAATCCATCATTATGTAACTCAATGGATGTACCTTTACCTGAATAAAGAATCTGATGGTGAGTGTATTATTGACATCACATGATAGCCCACACATACTAATAGTACAACAAGAATAAAATTGTCTTTACCATCATTAATGGGTAGAAGTTGTGTTTGCTATCGTCCTTGGTAGCCGAGCAGAGACTGGAAGCAGTATTACCTATTAGGGATAAAAGAAAACAAATTTAAGGTTTCTATGACTAAATTTTTCCCACCAAAACATAGTAAACGTTTAGAACATTAAATAAAAAACCAGCGTTGAATGTAACGAAACACCATTTTCTGGGCGAGTCCTGGAGGCTCCCCGGAGCTTTCCCAGGCTGATATGCTAATGTCAGACTTTGGCATCAGTCATGTGTATGGAGTTCTTAGGCCTACCGGGGACCACGGCCAGAACCGGGCCCCACTCAGAGAGGCAAGGGGAGCAATGGCCTATAGAAACACCCGTATGGTTGGAAGCATTCTATGTCTGCCATCGACTGGAACAGGCACCCAGAAAAATAAGCGCCTCAAAACAAACCCTTATTCTGATGAAAATTGCTACCAAAAGCCGAACTAGTGGACAGAACTCCCCAACAGAAAACAAGCAAACTAGTGTGACGTCACACGTCGCCGCACCACTGTCTGCGCAGCTCCCCCCTCCCCGGGAGGGGGAAGGGGGAGCCCCAGACCCTCCACGCCAACTACCCACATCTCAGTTCTTGAGGCTGGATATAAAAAATGCGAAAAAAAACGCCGACCGGAGGGAGGGAGGGATGCCGGGGAACCTCTGGGACTCACCCAGAAAATGACGTTTCATTACATTCAATGCTGGTTTTCTGGGGGGAGCCCCATCGGCTACCAGGAGCTAACTACCCACAGACGGAAAAAGAGGGACTTACCCGGGAGGCGATCGTCGCTCACCTCTCAATTCGAAGTCAAGACAACTGGTTGCAACCGCTGACCCAAAGCAACACAGGCCCGACGGGGCCCAGGGACATTCACGAGGTAACGAGCAGCCAGGACCCTCTTCAACTGCCAAAAACCCCACACCCAAATATCAGACCAAGACATATTCCCAAAGATGGCAGCAAGAGCCGCGAACTTACGGACGTCATGGGCACGGGGATAGACAGCAGGCTGGCTGGACTTGATAACCCTGCTGATGACCTAGCTGGGAAACCCAAACCCGCGAACAGGGAAGAAAGGAAACCGGATCAACCCAAAGCGCGTCCCCGGACACAGAAGCCGTGGCGCGCAAATAACGGCGAAGCGCCGCAACCGGACACAAAACATGATGCGCCCCCGGCTGGACCAACCAAGCATCAACCACCAACGGACCCCTCCGGCACACAGCAGTCTCATTCTTCGCCAGAAAAGGAGACGCCTGCAAGCGAACAAAACAATCTCCACAACCAAAAGAGCAGAAACCCCTGCGCCAGAGGAGACCATGAAGCTCCAATACCCGACCCCCAGAGACTAATGCCAACAAGAAAAGAGCCTTGGAGAAATAATCCCGGACTGAAGGGGCCACAACGAAACGAGGAGACAAAAGGTAAGCGAGCACTCTGTCCAAAGACCAGGAAGGCTCAAGCGGCGCATGAACAGGCTGGAGGTGAAACAAGGCACGAGACAGCTTGCGAAACGGCGCAGACATAACATCGATACCGAAGGCAAGCTGAAGTGGCCTTGCCAGTGCCGCACGATATGAGGCGACAGTGTTAGGCATAAGATGACGGTCCTGAAACAACCAAGAGAGAAAGGACAAGACCACCCTAACAAACAACGAACTAACACGACGAAGACGCAAAAAGAAACAGAAGGACCGCCAGGAAACTTCATACTGACGCCGAGAAGAAGCCCTCAGGTGGGACACCAACAAAGAGGCCTCGTTATCACCATAGAGATAATGATAGACTCGAGTCAAAAAACCCATACGCGAAGACTCAAGGAGAAGATCGAACCAGCCATGTGACGTACCGGCCCGATCTGCTGAAAGAGGCGGAGTCGCGGAAAAACCCTTGGGTTCGGACACCGAGCAAGCAGTGCCTGAAACCAAGGCTGGGCCGGCCACCAAGGGGTCAGAAGGACAACTCTCCCCTGATAAGTCTCCAAGCGAGTCAGGACCTGGAGTAACAGCCGAACCGGGGAAAAGAGGTACAGGAACCCCCACCTCGACCAGTCTAGCCGAAAGGCATTGACCCCGACGGCCTTCTGACCCCTTCCGGGATTGGGGAAGGGCGCCACATACACGGGAAAACGCCGCGACCACGCCGACGCAAAGAGGTCCACCTCGGGGCACCCGAACGTCTGGCAAAGCCAACGGAAGGAAACGTCGTCGACCGTCCACTCCGTGGAGAGGGGAACGAAGCGAGACAGGCCGTCGGCCAAGACGTTGGACACGCCCCGTACGTGAACCGCCAGGAGAGCCAAACCCCGAGAACTCAACAGATGAGTCACCCGAAGCGACCAACCCCAAAGAGACAAGGACCGCATCGAACCCCCGTGGTTCAGGCAATGAACCACCCGAGAGCAGTCCGTATGGAGCTGAATCGTCGATCCGCGGGCGACCTGAATCCTCCGAAGAGTAAACCACACTGTCGCGAACTCCCGCACCATGCTGTGAGCTCGATGGAAGGACGGATCCCAACGCCCCTGGTCGGCCGGGCCTGGTGAGCACTGGTCACAAAGCCCCAGCCGAGAGATGACGCATCCGTGTACACATCGAGTGAGGGCTCGGGCAGGTGCCAAGGCACTGAACCCCGAAAAACCCAAAGAGGAAGCCGGTGACGCAGCAACCGATGCAAGGCCCCCGGGGGTTCGAACCCAGTGATCGCGAGAGAGGCAGAAGGGGTGACCCTGAAGGTACCAGAACAGCCGTCGAAGCCAAACTCGACCCGGCGGGTAGACTACCATCATGAAGTTCAGGCTCCCGCACAGCCCCTCGAGCAACCTTCGGGTGACCCGAGGGCCCACCAGAAACAGACGAAGGTGGGACTGCAGCCGCAGGAGAGAGTCCTGAGGGAGAGACAAGGAGGCAATGAACCACCCGAGAGCAGTCCCAGCCAAGTCCGAACCTGAGAGGGGACCAGATGGGACTTCCTCCAGTTCACCAAGAACTCGAACCCGGTGAGCTGGGATAGAACCAAAACCCTGGCTAGCAAGCAAGCTGACCGGCTGGGAGCCCAAACCAGCCAGTCGTCGAGGTAGGACAACACCCGAACACCTAGGAGACGCAAACAGGCTACCACAACCCACGTAAGGTGCGTGAACACGCGAGGTGCCAGGTTCAACCCGAATGGGAGACAACGAAAGTGGTAACTCAGACGCCCCACAACAAAACCGAGCCAGTCCCTGAACCGCGGATGAATCGGGACATGCCAATAAGCATTCCCGAGGTCCAAGAACACCATCCAAGTGCCCGGCTCCACGAGAAGCCAAACCTGAGACAGCGTAGTCATCCAAAAGGAGGGGCAATGAACCCAGGGGTTCAGACGGGACAAGTCTAGAATGAACTGCAGGTCCGCACAGTCCCATTTCGGGACCAGAAACAGACGGGAAACACATCTGAGGGATGACGTCGTTTCGACGACACCCAAGTGAACCCACTCCAAGATGACCTGACAGAGCGCAGGTGAAGAAACCTGCCCTGCCAGCCCCGACCACCCCAAGGGGGGGGGGGGCCACCCAACGCCACCGCAGGCCGACAGACACGACCCGAAATGCCCTCGAATCTTGGGACCTGGCCTGGGCGAACAGCACACGCTGCCACCCCCATCACTCCGTCAATAGGGCAAACCGCAAAAGGGCCGGCGCCCCTTACGAGACCCAGAACCCCGCACAGAGCGAACACCGCACCGACCAGACGAGGGTGGGTCCGAAGCAGGAGCCGAACCCGAACCTGACACCAGTGACCTACCACAACAAGAGGAACCCTGAGCCCTGGCACGACCCTTCTGGGAAGACCCACCCCGGGACCCCCGGAAAACCAACAAGTCCGATATCGGACAACAAGCCGACGACGCAGCCTGAATAAACTGCGCCACGGCCGACTCCTCAAACAGAAGAGGATAAAAAGGTGAAGACCGCCTAAGAGCCAGAGCCCAAGCAGATTCCACGGAGGAACCCACTACCGCCTGCCGACACCCTTTAACAGGAAGCATAAAACAGGGAAACCGTATCCAGCAAAATTGGCGTTTAAAGCTTCAACAAGGCAGCGGACGAACGCGCTGCCGAGGACAAGGCGCCGGACCCCGGGACGGACCCAAGCGTCCTCACATCCTCCACGAACCAATCCGAGGACAGCTCTAGGAGGAAAAAGAACTATAAGGCCAAAGCCAAAAGACCCCAGTCGCGCAAGTCCTCCGCTATGAGCGCAGCCAAAAGGGCGGGAACCTGCACATGAAGCTGAACAACGCCCACATCGCGGGGAAGGGCAGGGGGCAAACAAACATTCATTCAGGTACTCAAGATCGCTCCCCAGGAAAACTTGATGCACCGTGGAAGCTTCCCGCCACTCCAGCGTGCGGGAACAACATAAGGAATGCCAGAAATCCAGAACAAACAAGGGGGAAGTCCGCTAGCCAGGAAGACTCCAGAACCTCGTAACAGAGCCAGAAAGGGAACGAAGTCCCAAACCTGAACTCGGACGGATCCATTTCCGAGGCATAATCCGGGTCACGCAGGAGGTAAGCTGCAAGGGCCACTCGCACCACACCAGGTTGGATGTGATAAGCCGAAAACCTCCAGAAAGACGGAACCGACATACCCGGGGAAACACGGAACTGAACCCAGGGAGGGCCCGACACCAAATCCAACTCGTACACAGAGGGGGGAAAAGAAAGACCCACACCTTGTAACAATAAGCCCCGCTCAGAGGGAAGAAAAACCCAGGCGGGGTCCAGCGGGGCCCAAGGCCCCTAAGTCAGCCCCTCCCCAGCCTCGAGGTCCTTCACCACAGGATCCGGGGCCGAGTCCTCTCCCCAAGCCCCGACCCCACAAAACAAGGATGGAGCAGCCATAAAAGCCGGAAGAAAGGGGGCCCACTGGTCAGACCCAGAAGCTTCGGCCGGGAGACAAGACTCGAATGCCACTGTTGCTCCCCCCCCCCCCGGAAGGGGCACCCACGAAGCTGCCCGAGTCTCGAGATCAAGTAACCCCTGCTCCGACTCCAAAACCTTC